CATAAAGTATTGATTGAAAGGGATTTACCTGTAGCAAGATACAGAAAACAAACACAGGAGCAAAAGCGATTAAGACTTGCCAAACTGCTTGAGACATAACTCCAACAATGCCCAAGAGCTGTAGGCCTGCGAACGCTACGCCCCCAAGTCTGTAAGGCACATTTAAGTCAAGAGCACTTTGGTCTGTAGAGGCCTGAGAAGAAAAAGCATAAGCTGGCTGAAAAACTTAAAACTTTAAGTCACAATACGTACCCGGCTGAGAATTCTACCAGTTGGAGTAGAATCAAAAAACGACATTGGCGAATGAAAAATGCAATGTAGCATGTCAAAGAAGAACTTCTGAGCCGTCGCGAGGCCGATGACATTGAGAAGCAGCACCCTGAGAAGCACGAACAGCGATGCTCCAAAAGAAAATCCTCCATACCCGATGATCAACCGAACAGGATCAAACTCTGGAGCTACAGCCGTCGCTGGAGTTTCGCGAGCCATCCACCAGTTTGACGCGATTTGAAAGAGTAGAAATAACAGCTGTGTCGCCAATATGCATGGAATCAAGCCGCCCTTGTACACCGCCGTGCAGTAGTTCCAGTAAACTTGCAAACCAACACTGCCTTTCTCGCGTTCTTCTTCCTGTACCAGTTGTTCTGCCTTTGCGGCCTTTGCCTGCGCTTCATGCTCGTCCGACTTCTGCACTTCTTTCTTTTCTTCATTATCCAGGATACCTTCCACGGTATTGTCTACGCTATCTAAGGTCTTGTCAGCCTGATTCATGACTTCCATAGCCTTGTTGTGTGCTCCAACAAGCACACTGAAGTCAGTTTTTGCTTGTAAAAGCTGAGTGTATGTTCCTGACTGCGTTATACGACCATCGTTTAGAACCTGAATCAAATTAGCTCGTCAACGTAGTGGTCTTTAGAACTTATGAAAAAAGTTTCTTACCAAAATGAGGTCAGCCACAGGTAAGAACTCCACTTGATGCGTCACTAGAATGACAGTCTTTGATGCCAGTGCGTTAAGAACACATTCCTGCATAAGATTTATGAGTGAGATCACAGGGCCAAACAGAGACATGCGCTTACCTTGAATATTTGAGTACCAGTTTCCACGTCCACGGCACTGAAAGGATCGTCAAGTAGGTAGATATCAGCATCCTGATACAATGCACGAGCAAGTTGTATCCTTTGCTTCTGGCCGCCGCTCAAGTTGATGCCCCTCTCGCCTATTTCTGTCTGATCTCCGAATGGAAGAACTTCCAGATCTCTTTTGAGTTGACACATCTCCAACACGCGATCGTATTTACTTCTGTCCATAAGAGAGCCAAAAAGGACATTGTCCTCGATCTTTCCACTTTGTATCCAGGCAGTTTGTCCCACGTACGATGTTCTTCCAGTTACTTGCACCTGTACAAGCAGATGTAAGGCAAGAACTAGAGAACGGTAGAATACAAAAATGCGCACCTTGCCAGAAAGCCTTGGGATTTCTCCCAGAAGGCACGAGAGCAAGCTCGATTTCCCGGAACCAACCTTTCCGCAAACCGCAACTGTCATCCCTGTTTTGACCTCCAGATTAACTCTAGACAACGAGAGCTTCTCAGGAGATTCATCCCAGCTGAAATCTGCTGCTTCCACCAGAATTACTGTAGGATCTTGGTCATTTGTCCGAGAAACAGCATCCGCCTGAAGCTCTGGCTCGTGAAGAAACTTACTCAGCCGATCCAGCGAAACTCTTGTTTGAGACAGAGCTGAAATACAGTCGGGTAGAGTTATGAGCGCCTCCTGTAAAACTCTAAAGGTGGCCAGCGTTGAAAGAACTTTCCCAGTGGTCAGAGGTATCTTCAGCACCACACAAGTACCAAAGGTGACCACTCCAATGATCATGGGACTTGTCCAGAAGAGGAAAATTATAGCTGCCTGCGTCAAGAACGATTTCTTCAGCCAGCAATACTCCACACCTCTCAAGGCTTCCAGTTTCTGCAGGTAAGCCTTCTCCCAAGCTTGCGCCTTGAGAATCCTCATGCTCTTTAAGCACTCCGTCGTTGCTCGCATTCGGGCGTCCTTGGCCTCCATGATCTTGTCCTGGTACTTGTCTTGCAAGGAGCTAAACGGAGTGTTGACAGCCACCGAAGCCAGCGTCGCAACCACGGTAGCTATCGCAGCAACCCCGACTTTCTGGTATAGAATAAGAAGTGCCAGCGCCACCTGAAGCGGTAAAATCCAGATATCGTGCAGATACCACGAGAAGTCAAGAACCCTCTGGATATCCACTGCCATATGGTTGACAATCTCTCCGCTGGTGTATTTCTGCCGCGACAAGTTAGAAAGCCGCAAGCCTTTCCTGTAGACGCAACTTGTGAGCGTCGCGCGGGCCTTTATCGCCAGGAACTGGATCTTGAGAAACCAATGCCTTTGAGAGAAGTTCTCCAGAAACTTAGTGACGAGGAACACCGTCACCAGGATCAAGCCTTCGTGAGGAAACCGGTAAACCCCGCTCAAGTAGCTCACGAAGTCGTCGATCAAGTATGGTCCCACGTATGACGCGAGCGAATTCACTACCACCAGGAATCCAACCGCCACTGCCTCCTTCCAATAACATACCATAAGAGTCCTTGTCACAGATGGTGGCCTGCTGGACGATTTTTCGGAATCCTGCTTTGATCTTTCCCATTTGTCCTGGAAAAACTCGTAGGCTGTGGATGCTCGGTGTTGTTGTGCTACCTGCGGCAAATCCTCAGGCTCCAAAGTCCTCTTCACCCCGAGAGCCAGTACAGGGTTGACCCATGATATGAATAGCAGGCTTAGATTCCCAGCTCTGGTGTATGGAGTAACGTTGTCTTCGCCCTTGTCCGCTACCTGCGTGTCCTCTTCTTCTAAAAGAGGCTCACCGAGACTGCCGCTCATAACTTTGATCCCTGTTCTTCCCCCCACCGATGCAACTAGCAGAACCAAGCTAGCAGGAATCCAAGCCAAGCTTGAATATGTATTCCAGGACTTGTGCTTAAACTTGGACGCGACAAGATCATCCACAGACAGCACGAACTCAGGAAGGCCAGCACAGAACGACACAATCCACCACACCCTCAATGCCGCTGGGATTTTTTCTTCTCCTCTCTTGCGCGATGCTACCAATGCTAGCGATGCAACAAGCCAAGCAGCAGCTAGCACCAATTCCTCCGCAAGACACAGCACGCTCCGTGATTGATGAAGAAATGCGAAGCAAGCACTGGCGGCGCTCAAAACCAGCAGATAAAAGCAGCAAAAGAGGAAAATCTTGAATGGGAATGCGGTGGTGAGCTTGCTAGTCGGCCGGGACTTTGTAGACAAGAAGAAACTCACAAGCCAGGAGAGAATGAAGATCGCGGCGACGGCGATCGTTCCCACGCAGCTCCCAAAGCGGATTTCGTCGTCGAATCGGTGGAGAAAGCTCTCCGCTGCAGCGAAACATCGATATTTTGATCAGAGGAAACCTAGAAAATCCAAGAGCAGCAAAGCTTTCGCGCCTTACCGATGATCATCGCTGATTTCGGCGCTAGAAAAATGCGTTGCTGGGAGAAGAAAGAGGCCGGCCGTGGCGAAAACAAAGCCCTAGAAAACGGCATTATATACCATTTTGTGACTTGCCTCCGAAGAAAAAACTTTCTCGCCAGTCAAGGTCTCCTTTCGTCGCTCGTGACGCGCATATTCGGATCTACCACGGCTGGCTAAACAATTGTAAAGACAATTGTAAGCTGATCATCGAAATCCGAGTGCCACGCTCCTGGCTTGTGAGTTTCTTTGCAAGATCCCGAGCTGTCAAGAATCTAGCATTAGCATCGCTAGTATCGTACAAGTATCCTATACCAGCTGCATTTGGGTGTGGTGGATTGCCTCGTTTGCTGGTCTTCCCAAGTTTGTGCTATCTGTGCATGACCTTCCAAGGTTAAACACAAATCCTGGAGTGCCTGGCCTGGATGCTTGGGGACGAAGAGGGATCACAGTTCTGGTTAGTGGACAAGGGTGAAGACAACGTTACTCTGTACGCCAGAGCAGCCAAGAAGACTTTGGACGAACATTTGCTACAGGTAGCACAGGAAAAAGAGCATCAGCAGCTTACGAGCTTTCTTTTTCTCACAAAAAGTGGGAAAGTTCGAGCAGGCTTCCGAGAAGAACAATCCCGCCTTCTTCTATGGATGGTGATTTCCTCGTCGTGATTAGCTCGCTGGCGATGACAGACGAGTTAGGGACTTGTGTGGTGCCGAAGATACCTCTGACTACTGGGAAAGTTCTTTTGGCCCAGGAGTTATTTACAATTCTCCCAGACTTAATCACACTGTCGCAAACAAAATCTCGCTAGATCGGGTGAACAACTTTCTTCACGACTGCATATGCCTGCCAACAGGATGCTGGTATCCACCTACTTGACGATCCTTCAACGTGTTTGGCAGAAATATTGCCAGAGAACTTTCTGGACTTCAAGGTCTTCAAAGAGCTGCAATCATACATCACTTTGGCGAGTCAATAGCAGCGAACGAGAATCTGCTATAATCTCGACCCCCTTGGACAGTTCTCAGATCCAGAAATCTGGGAGATAAGTTCTGTCATTCTTCTATTTCCTAAGAGGCCATGTTGTTAGGCCTTGGACGAGTGATGCTAAAACAAGGCCGTGTTTTGGCACCCAGACGAGCCCACCGCATCCGTGGACAGTGCTACCGATGGAATGATCCATCCACCATCGCGACAAAGTTCGCTACTGTGATGGACAGCGACTACGTTCTGGCCCTACACGTTGGTTGGAAATCTTACTCTCTTTTTTTTCAAGTTTATCTTTTTCCAGGACGCATAGCTAAATACGACGAGCTGGGGAAGAAGAGGAGCTCGTATTTCTTCAAGCGTTTTCCAAGATATCTTTTGGATCCTCCGAATCATGCAGTAAAAAGGATAGTTTCTCAAACTTGGTATGTATAAAGGTGACCGAAAACATTGAATATTCTAACTTAGCGATGGCAATGGCAAAGCTTCTCAATCCCAAGAACACGGACGCCATCCCTCTTGTAATTACGCCTGGTATGTTCCTGCATTCTCTTCTCGATCTGTATGCTCCGTGTTTGGGCTCCTGTGCAGGAGCTTCCAGTGGAGACTCCGGCAATGATCTCGCAATTGGGATCTGGAAGGTCAACTCTTTGGGAGCCCTGGCGCGATTTTGTTCCGGGGATTCGGCGTGTCAAATGCGGAGGAATTTGCTCGAGTGGTGGAAGCGTTTGGATATGAGAGCATGGGTTGCAGAGCTGGAGCTGCGAGGAGGAAGCACATTGTCGGGCCTGTCTACACAAACAATGCCCTCGACGCTGAAACCGAGCTTGGATTTCACAATGAAATGAGCTACGTAAGGTTTTCCCATTTTCATTCTAAGACTTCTTGTTCTTTGCCACAGCTTGCGGATTATCCCGACTTGGTCGTGTTTTTCTGCGAGGTTGCTCCACCGCCAAGCGCCGGCGGTGCCACTGGGATCGTCCAAGGCAAAGCCACCATTTGGTGACTTGCCTCTGAAGAAAATGTCGCCAGTCAAGGTCGTGGTCTAAGGATATTGGACACATATTTACACGCGACAATGGGAATCTAAGCTTGCTATGCTGGCTCTCGGAGCAAAGAGGACTTTGGAGCCAGAGGACTTGCCCGGCAGCCCACGGGTTTTTTTCACGAAAGTTCAAAGCAAGCTTCCGAGCCTCTCGCCTTCTTTGACAGCGGTTCCTTGTCGTGAGGCGTGTTTGTTTTTGCTGTAGTTCTGTGATTGGAGTAGTCACTATGGCTGGCTGAAGAAATCGTTCATGACGCAGCTCGCAATAATTTGGACGACTAGAATGGTCACCTTAGCTACTTTGTGGCTGACTTCAGCGAGTTTTTGTTTGCGACAGTGTTGCCAGAATGTAAAACTCTGTAGACTTCACGAGGCAGGAACGAACGTGATATTTAATCTGAAGGAATTGAGTCTGAATTTTTTCTTGTGAGTTTCTTCTTGTCTACAAAGTCCCGGCGGACTAGCAAGCTCAAGCCCGTCAAAGTTCCCCCTTCCGCTGCTTCTCTGTGTCTCATTTCTTCATGGATCACGTCTTGCGGAGGAGTTCTCCTGCCTGGCTTGTTGTTGGTAGCATCGCGCAAGAGAGGAAGCAATCCGGCCTCGTGACGCTGAGACATTTTCTTCTCGTTCTGTGCTAGCCTTGGATGATCTTGTCGCGTCCAATTAGTTTACGCACAAATCGTATTTACCCGCTTCAGGTGACTTCTTATTCTATACCAGCAAGTCGGGGCTGCTGCGATTGCTACTGTGGTTGCTACGCTGATTTCGGCGGCTATAAACACTCCGTTTAGCTCCTGCAAGACAAGTACCAGGGCAAGATCATGGAGGCCAAGGACGCCCGAATGCGAGCAACGACGGAATGCTTAAAGAGCATGAGGATTCTCACTTACCTGCAGAAACTGGAAGCCTTGAGAGGTGTGGAGTATGGCTGGCTGAAGAAATCGTTCTTTCCTCTTCTGGACAAATGATCATTGGAGTGGTCACTTTTGGTACTTGTGTGGTGCTGAAGATACCTCTAACCACTTTTCAGCGCTGGCCACCTTTAGAATTTTACAGGAGGCTAGCAGACTGTATTTCAACTCTGTCTCAAACAAGATCGCTGGATCGGCTGAGTAAGTTTCTTCACGAGCCAGAGCTTCAGACTGATGCTGTTTCTTGGACAAATGACCAAGATCCTACAGTAATTCTGGTGGAAGCAGCAGACGTCAGATGTCCTGAGCTAGAGTTAATCTGGATGTCAAAAAAGGGATGACAGTTGCGGTTTGCGGAAAATTGAGCTTGCTCTCGGAGAAATCCCAAGGCTATGGTATGCATTTTTGTATTCTACCATTCTCCTTACATCTGCTTTTGCAGGTCCAGGTAACTGGAAGAACATCGTATGTGGGCCAGACTGCTTGGGTACAAAGTGGAATGGTCGAGAATAATGTTTGCTTTATGGACAGAAGTAAATACGATCGCGTGCTGGAGATGTGTCAACTCAAAAGAGATATGGAAGTTCTTCCATTCGGAGATCAGACAGAAATAAGCGAGAGGGGCATCAATTTAAGCGGGGTTAGATAGCCGTGAAAGAAAGACAGAAAAAGAAAATGGAGGCCATGGCCGGGCGGCCAGAAGCAAAGGATACAACTTGCTCGTGCACTGTATCAGGATGGTGATACCTACCTACTTGATGATACTTTCGGTGCCATGGACGTGGAAACTGGTACTCAAATCTTCAAGGTAAGCATGTCTCTGTTTGGCTCTGTGATCTCTCACTCATAAATTTTACGCAAAATGTGTTCTTAATTCACTTAATTCATTATTGGTAACAATATAAAATAAAGTACACGTTGACGAGCTAAATGTAGGTAAAAGATGGGCGATCTGGACCTTACTCTCAGCTTTTCCAAGCGAGTTAAACCTCTTGTTCTTGAGTGCCAATCTCCAACAAGGCTATGGAGGTATCCAAATAATGAAGTAAAAAACAGAAGTGCAGAAGTCGAATGAGCCCAAGGCAGAACAACTGGTACAAAAAGAAGAACGCGAGAAAGGTAGTTTTGGTTTGCAAGTTTACTGATACTACTGCATGGCAGTTTACAAGGGCGTATATTGGTGAGTATGCTACTGTTTCAAATCTTGCGTCAGACTGGTGGATGGCTCAGCGACGGCGTGTTTGATCCTATTCGGTTGATCATCGGATACAGAGGATTTTTTGCTTGGAGCATCGCTGTGAACACTGGTAGGAATTCCGTTTGGAGCATCGCTGTTCGTGCTTCTCAGGGTGCTACATCATGTCATCAGCCTCGCGACATCTCAGAAGTTCTTCTTTGACATACTCCACTCATTTGCCAATTGATGTGGTTTTTTTATTCGACTCCAAGGTAGAATTCTCAGCCGGGTACGTCTGTTTACATTTGAAGTTTTTAAATCTCAGGCTTCTACAGACCAAAGTGCTCTCGACTTAAATGTGCCTTGCAGGCTTGGGGGCCTTGCGTTCTCAGGAGTACAGCTTTTATATATTGTGGGAGTTATGTCTCAAGCAGTTTGGAGTCTTAATCGTTTTTGCTCCTGTGTTTGTTTTCTGTATCTTGCTACAGGTAAATCTCTTTTTCAATCAATACCTCTGTCCTAATTAGAGTTGAATCTATTTGCAAAGGTCTTATATACCATCAGGCAGGGAGCTTTCCAGGCTTCAAGGAGTCACCACTTTGCGGAATCTATTGCAGGAGCTCCGACAGTACGAGGTTTTTGCCAGGAAGAGCGTTTCATGCACAGGATCGACACGTCTGCTCGAGTCTATCTCTACTCGGCTGCAGCCATGGAGTGGGCCTCTATGAGGCTAGAACTCCTCACCAACGTTGTCTTTGGTTTCTGTTTTCTTCGATAAGGTTATCTCCCTCCCCTCGCATTCCCAGCGAGGCACCATGGGAGATTGAAGAGTCTAAGCTTCCGGAAAGCTGGCCTGCCACAGGAAACGTAGGTAGGAATTTCTAAAACTTCGATAATGGCTTTGGAACTTGAACAACATTTCTACGTGACATAGGTCCGCTATAACTCCAACTTACCGCTCCTGTTTCACGACAATAACTGTGTATTTCCCGGAGTCAAGAGGATTGGAGTCGTGGGCCGGACTGGCAGTGGAAAATCCACGCTCATCCATGCCATATTCTGAGCCAGCCGGTGGAAAGAGCGTGATCGACGGCGTGGACATAACGAAGATGATCTCCGATCCAGGCTCAGCACCATTCCACAGATCCAACGCTGTTCGAAGGCACCATTCGCTATAAAACTTGGTATTTAAACAAATGTGAGTGGAGACTCATCCTTTCTAAGTTTCTTCAAAACCCTTGGATAAATGACTCGGAAACCTCGTGCGTGTATGTGTAAAAGTTTTCTTCCTTTTCTCTGAGGATCAAAGCTGCTTATAAAGCTCTCACAGACAAGGAAGGCAAGCCCATCCCTTGCAAGTGCTAGAGACAGCCTACCTTCTCGGTGACTTTTGCTGTCTGAAAATGGTGAGAACTGGAGCATGGGACAGAGACAATTGTTTTGCCTTGGACGAGTTATGCTAAAACAAGCCCGTGTTTTGATACTGGACGAGGCCACCACATCCGTGGACAGTGCCACCGATGGAGTGATTTCCAGGGATACACTGTTATCACCATCGCTCGCCTACTGTGGTGGACAGCGACTAAGTCCTAAACGATGGTATTGTTTTGTTTTGGTGACATTTGCATACGACGAGCTGGGCAAGCTTTTAATGACGAGCAGCTCACATTTCTTCTATTCCAAGAGATCTTCTGGATTATCAACTCAAGTCTTTACAATTTTAGAGCCTTTTTAGTTCGGTTGGCTCGTGTTGGAGGCTACAGCGGCAAAGCGGGCAAGTGTGTTGCTTGAAGAGCCACATCGAGATACAGTCGCGATGGTAGAAGTGCTTGCACTTGGGCAACACACACACCTCTTGCCCGTCGCTAAACTCCCCAAGGCAAATGGGGCACTCCTCTCTCCCTCGCTCCCTCACGCTGTAGAGCTCCAGGGGAAGTACAACCAAATCCATACCATTCTCAAATTCCTTCTCAGCCTCGCCATCCCTGGTGGAAGCTCCAGTGCCATACCCCGTGTCACCAAAGCTGCAATCTCCATCTTTAATGCACAACCAGCAGCTCCAACCCGCAAACCAGGCGCCACCCAACAAGCAACAGATTTCAGACATTGCCCACTATAGTGTGATAGGGTTTTTCCTTTTAGTTCTTTGGCTCTTTTATACCAGTCCGCCACCTTTTCCGATCGCGGGCACCGTATCATTTACCATACGCTCCGTACAGCTCATTGTCCGCTATAAACCGGCGGCTCCCATTGCAATCCAGGCATGGCACCAAGCTCGCTCCTCCACACCCCTATAAGCTCCTGAGTTTGGAGCTCCCGGGAGGTCATCCAACCCAGTACTATTCAAACCCAAGGACGCTTAACCCCAAATATCCCAAGACCCTTAACCGATTGGAAAAGAGGATGCACTCTTGTTCATGGGCCTTTTCCCTCTATATTTGAACCCCATGGATCGTCTCTCAAGTAGTTCCCTTTGGTTGCTTACAATCCACCACGCTTCCCTGCAAGTTCACGCCCTCGTGAACGGAAGCTGAGAGCCGCAACTCTCCCGAGAGCCCCACTCTCTTGACACCCTACCCCTCGGGTCGAGCCCAGCGGGAGTAAACTGGACCAGCCAGATGTCAATCAACATGTGGTGTGATTCCCTTAGCCAACCAACAGAGTTGGACCCGAGACCGCTCTGATATCAAATGTAAGCTCTTAAGTTTGGACTTCCCGGGAGGTCACCCAACCCAGTACTATTCAAACCCAAGGACGCTTAACCCCAAATATCCCAACACCCTTAACCAATTGGAAAAGAGGGTGCACTTTTGTTCATGGGCCCTTTCCCTCTATATTTGAACCCCATGGATCGTCTCTCAAGTCGTTCCCTTTGGTTGCTTACAACCCCTTGCAAGCCATGGTGGTGTCTGTCCGCAAATATCCGCTGCTTATCATGCAAGAGCTTGCGAAGCTGGCCCTTGTTTTTTCGTTTAGCTGCTCCACGCCACCAATGTACCTGAGGAAGAGAACAAACGAGGACGGCGATGGATTAATTCCCTGACTGTGATGGATCGAAACTTATATAGTTTCGAGATCGTGGGGCTGGGGACGTACCTTCCATCGATTGGAACTCGATTGTCCATCGCCCAACTCCGGCTCCATCGTGGAGACTCCTTTGCTCTCGAACGCAATGCCGTGGATCGCTGTGGTGGTGCTGCATTCCTCGTCGTGTGGTTTGAACGGAAGCGTGAGCCTGTCCCTGGGAGGTTCTTTGATCGTCGAGCTCGAGACGGACAAATGACCAAGATCCTACAGTAATTCTGGTGGAAGCA